AAGGCTTAATAACGTTTTGTATGGCTCGAAATAGCCATCTTAATGTACAGTAGAGAAAACCTTCCAGCAACTATCCATATTCTTAGAATATAGATCATTTGCTTTCTGTCATTTACTCACACAAAAAACGCACTTCCTGCTTTTCTTGGCCTCACAAAAATAGAAAATAGAAAAAATTCCTCCCGGGTCTTTAATATGTGAGTTTTATTCGTGAAGCTAATTTTTATTATTCGTCTGCTCGTCTTTCAGAGATTTAACAAAGCGCTTGCATCCGTGCCTACACATACACGATATCCTCAGCCGAATATTATATTCTCTTCATGCAACGTTGCTTAGTAGCCAAATTAAAAGTGACGGCAAAAGCAATTCAACGCAGGCAGCCGTAAATTTTGTGGCACAAATCTGAGCGAAGATTATTTTTAACCACAAAGTAACATCGAAAAATTTGTTTGCTATGAACAATGGCAATGTATTTATAAATAAAAAAAATTCGTTTTTCAATTTTTGAAAATCATTTTTCATTTGAGCCATTCATGATAGTAAAACTGGCCTAAATTAAGCAAAACAAAATTGGTAACGTTGAATTTAGCGGTTATACTATTTCAATGAGCTAACCGCATGCTCTCTTGTATCGAATTAAAATCGAAAACTTTGTTTTTGCTTTTGCATTTAATTTTTTTGACAAAAGAACAGCCTGAAAAAGTAGCAAGCAGAGAAATGTGCGAATCGAAGACAGCTATTATTGTGATATAGCTGTAATACTTTTAACACGCTAGCTTAGTGGACCGGTAGAGTCCATTTTTCCAGCTCTACAAAAATAAATAGAATTATTTGTTACTCTGAATATCTTAGCAAATTCTACTGGTTTTCAGTGTCCAGATTACGAATGTTTTCATGAAAATATTGAATGTGCTCTTGTTTTTATGATTTTTGAATCTCTTTTATTTTAATCAACTATCGGTTAACTAGTAATGAAATTTATTTTTCCAATCATGATTCGGGGTCTACGTCCCTTTTAAGCGTGTACAAATATCACGTGATCTCCACTATCAGGCTCTTCCTGGGAAATACGTGAAAAATTAGGTGGAAGGTTTGAAGAACAATCAAACGGGGAGATATTTAAACCTACAGTCAACTAAATGATCAGTTTTACGTGATGAAAATCTCGCTTTTCGTTTCAAAAGTAGTTTTCATGCCCTCAGCAACAATGACGCCTAGAAATTCCTATAAATCGGTACAATCTATAAGTGGAAATGAAAGTTATTTTCTCAAAATGAACTTAGTTATTTATTATATTGAATATTGTTTTAATTACATTTGTAGAAAGTTTTCGAAGCTTCGTATGGAAAAGTTGAAAGGTGATTTTCAAATATTGCGATTCATGAAAAAATAAAAAATGTATCAATGTTAGACTGTTCCGGAAAGTGAAGCTTGAAAATATTGAATGCTGAGTCGAAATTTTCCCAGGTTAGCATAAAGCTGCAAATAATGAAAAAATGCGCAAAATATGTATTTTGACGCACTTTAAGATTCTAAGAGCAGATATGACTATCAAGTCAAACATCTTGATAAGTTTTCAGCTGATGGAAGTAAGGTAACACGGTAGATGGGATCGTGCCATTATGGCTGATTATTTTTGATCCTTACTTGAAAATTATAAAAGAAACACTCATGAAAGCGTCAAATTAAGCTATAGCTTACCTTTTCGACCCAGTCTCTCTAGTTACTTCGATGTATCCTTATTTTTCGAAACAAAAGTGATATTATAAATATAACTTTTATTTTATTTCATATTTTCTAACCTTTGTAATGAAAATAAAGATTTAAAAATAAAGGTAAATAAATCTTACAAAATCATTAATAGTGTCACGACTTTTGCGCATAAATATTATATATCAAAAATCGACCTTATATCTAGGGCAACAAAACCACTGTAGACCTGTGTTATTTATGTGCAACTATTGATCTCCAACTACAAGCCTCACTTCAGTTCACACAAATTGCCTACAAAGCGTGCATTTCTTTGCTTTCGCTTCTGCTGTGATTTGTTATTGTTGTAATGTTCCACACCAACATAGAACTGAGCGCTTGCTGCATAAGCATTATATTTTTATTTTCACCTCAGCACCAGTAACCCAATTTGTTGATGTAACTTGGTGACGCAGCAATTCGAAACACCAGTAATTGACGAAATGTTTCGAAACAAGCGCATGAATAAAAGCAAAACAAACACGCATGTGAAACATTTCTCATGCATGTAAGTTCCGTGTTCGACTTCTTGCGACACTTTGCATGTTGAGTACACAAGTTTAATACAAATGTTCCGGCAACACCTCCGCCAAAGTACTTGTGCGCATGTGTGGCTGAGCAAGTTGGCTAGGCACTGGTTTTTTTCGCACTCAGCGCGCAAAACGCTACAAAGCCGCGGCGCAACAGCAATAGCAACAGCAGCTGCAAGTATAGCTGTAACTATGTCAGATATGCACTCGTGTTTCGCTGGCAACTTTCATTGAAGTTTTCAACTTTTGTTGACACAAAGTCAAATGAAGTGGATGCGCTTGCTCTCAATGGAATTCAGCTTCGCGCATAAGTATGTAAGCGTTTGAAAAGTTTCTAACGACACCGGGATGTACGATGACGAAACTTGCATGACAGTGAGTGAGTGAGTTTATGGTGAGAGCATGAGCGTCAGCTCGTTAGAGTTTAACAGTGAAAAATTTATAAATTTATAAAGGTATTCGGGGAAGCGCGATGTGTGTCAACATTAAAAAGGCAAGATAAGGAAGTGTTTGCAAAACAGTTGTTTAACCTTCAAAGTATTTAATAAGTGTCAATTTTTTATTAAACATTCTGCTATCAGAAGCACCTTATCGAAACAAAGAGCAAAATATTGCAAAAAACTAGGTTCAGTAGGGTCTAATAAAACAGGTGTTCTGAATATAGAAAATGTTTGGAGCCTTTCATAACTTACATAATGAATCATTATTAAAATTATTAAAAACCGATATGGGCGATCTTTAACACCCAACCTTACATTATTTTTATCCAATCTAATATTAGAAGCTCTAAACACAAATTGGGTCAAATGAGGTAGTAAGCCCCCATTCCGGATACAGCGATCCAGTAACTTCGTTCTTAAGGGTTGCCACTTTACTTTTTTTCTAAAGAGATTATTCTACATGGTTGCAACCTATCCGTAATAATATCGCTTAAACGCAGTACATGGTATAGAACTAACTTTGAAAAAATATGTTTTACAGTGAGCTAATATTATTGCAATACGAAGTAATTTACAAGTCTTCAGTGTCATAAAGAAGCGAGTACATTTATCGGCATGTTTGCATTAGAGGCGCAGTCGTATATTATATTTACGGCATACTTGTAGTAAGCTAGACAACAGCAAGCAATAAATTTGATGTTTCCATAGCTTAAAAGCATGGAAGGCAGTGCTTTTACTTTTACATAAATTAAAACAACCCACAAGTGATTGCAGTAAATTGAAAATGAATTGTATTAACCGATAAAATGAAGTGCAGACAGGCACAAACATGCCGACAATCACATTCGTGCAGACAAATCAACAAAAAGCACACATATGTACGTACTCAAACAAAGTAGTTGGCAGAAGAACATTATCGTTACAGAGAGAATGCTGATCAACCATAAAGTAATGCAACGAAGCGAATCAAAAACATTGAGGCATATCGAACATTGCATGTCTCGCCGTAATTACTGGCCAACGAAAAGGCAAAAATACCAGCACACAAAAAAATGCTGTAAACCAACGGAAAACAGTAAAAACGAGGCGCCGAAAAGGTATTGGGTCCAAATAGAAAAAAAAACTGCAATGCCGATACGGAAAGGTTGAGGCCAAACAGAAATAAATTTTAAGTAGACATTGGCTGCCATAAAAACAACGCAAACGTTCTTCGTGTAATGAGAACAACAGTCGTAGCGAAAATAATATGCGACGACACTAATACGACAGCAAACTGTTGTGGAATGCAGGGCGTGTTCCTAAATGTAGGCCATCAATATTGTATTACGCTGCGCCAGCCCGCTTATGCTTTCCACCTGTGTGTATTGATTATTGAAAGCTAATCAACGCAGCGGAGCCGAGTACGAAATAATACACCACCGACAAGAATTTGCACTTTACTCATCAATCTGCATGACAATTTTACATAACAAAATTTGAGCACGATTCGCCATTATAATAAATAAAAATGTATATTAACCTTGACGGTCCGTTTGAGTTAAACCACTAAATGAATGTAGCAGCAAAGCAGCAGCAAATAGCTGAAAATAGAAAGCTTAGCAAAAAGCGTCTGCATGTCAAAGGCCTAGGCGACAACATCGAACCGACCGCATCTGTCAGCGCAACATCAACTAAATCAGACAAATAAATTATGCGTGAATCGTAAGCATAGGTAATTGCCGTTATGCTTGTGGTTTCAAATATTGTTTGTGATTTCTTCTTTAATTAATGGTTCAACATAAATATGAATGTTATATAAACGTGAATATTCTACGAGTAAAATACAGTTACGAATATACACTCGTGTGATTTATCGATATTGTTTATTTGTGGTTATGCGCCTTCGAGTGGGAATTAATTAGCCAGTGTTGATGCGCCAAAATGTATGCCACAAAGTGCGTTGAAGCCGATTTTAATGTTATTCGAAATCAAAACAAGAGAGCACTAATTAAGTGCGCGCCTCAACAAATACTAAAACACTAAGAGTGCGATAAAGGATTAGCAGGCAGAGTGGGAAGACCATATAATGGAGCACACTCCGTCGTTTTTTACTTTTAAGCGCAGAGTTTAATAGTTCATTTGATTTTAATAAAGCTGAATTTAATAAGTGAGAAAGAGTATATTATAGAAGAAAACTTAAACTTTCCACAATAATATAATTAAATAATAGTTGCCTTACCTAAATTATCAAATAAATTAAATTTAAAAATTTAAATTAATTTTTGGAAATAACACTTTTCAGATTTCGTAACCTCTCTGCGAGATGTGCGCGTCAAAATCCCACATGCCGCGCGTCGCGGTGAAAAGGTAACACTGAAGTGTCTCTACGATCTGGAGGGTGACAGTCTATACTCAGTGAAATGGTATAAAGGACGACGCGAATTCTACAGTTTCACGCCAAAAGAAACGCCAGCAATTAAAGTCTATCAGATAACAGGGGTGAGAGTTGAGGTAAGTAGCAAATGAAATGCTGTTAAACCGAAATCATATTTGAATTTTCGATTTCGAAAATATATTTGTTAGTCAAACTCTTAAAGAAACAAATACATATATACGCTTTAAACGAACGTATGCTATCAGCCATTGGCTATGCTTTGCAACAGCGTTGCTTATCACCACTTGCTGAAGCCATTAACAAATATTCGCCAAGTGCTAGAGACGGCTTCAATGTACCATTTCAATAGCTGAATTTCTTGAATGGTTGCGCAGAGACACTGTCGACACCATCAAATAAACACGTGAACTTTGTAACCGCAATTTCGTGCACATTGCTTATTTACATTGTAAACATTCCGCGGCGTGGCGCGTCTTACGTTGGCAAGCAGTAAAACGCAAAAATGTCAGCAAAATTCATATTTCGGAATTATATAAGTTTCTGTGTGCGTGAAACTTTCGTGTTTGTATTCAATTCAGACAACAACTTGGCACACGGAGTGTGGTTTCATTACTGTCACTCTATTTGACGCCATCACCGAAGAGCGCGCTGCGAAATTTGAAAGTGTTGCATACTGGAAGACTGTAAAGCGAATGAAGTTAGATTGGCTGCTTGTTGAATTAAAACTTTGTGCTTTGACTGGAATATTCATTACTTTTTATGGCCGTTACCATTTTTCCACTGCCAGTTGCTTTTGGTGCGCAGCAATGAGGCTCACAATTCTACCATGGAATTTCGAAATTAATTGCTTTTGATTGTTGGAGTGCTTCGCTGGTGGTAATTGCTTGTTTACACGCCTTTGATTTTAAAGCAGCAAAATTTAAAATTGCTAATACTTTGGAAAAAGTTCGATTAGCTTTTAGAATTCATCTAGTGGTGAAGTACAATTAAGTTAATTTAATTTTCCATGCAAATGAATATAAGTTGAAATGTATTTACAAATATTAAATGCAAGCAAAAGGCATTAGCCTATTAAAATAAATATTTCTGCGGTTTGAACAGCTTCTATTAAGCGGAAAAAGATACGCAAGCACAAAAGTAATACATGGAATCAATAAACTTATAATAGTAAGTTAATTTTGCGGAAAAAACACTTCAACTGAAATTGCCGCTCAAAAAAGCACTAAACGGCAACAATTTACACCATTCAAGCAAAAACTTTAATCTTTAAAACAACAACACACCATATTTAGAACGAATATGCACATTACAGATGCATACACACATTCATACGTATATTTGTATTTTACATGTATGCACAGAGCAATAACATGTCACTCATACGCCATGTACCACCAAATAAGCAGCTGAAGCAAGCGTATCAAAGTTAAGCACAAGTTAAACCGTGTATGTGTGTGACAACACTTGAATAAAAGCAGGAGGAAGATAATAAACGATATTAAAAAGTTTCAAATAAGTTAAAAGAGCAAAACTCGACTGGTGCGTGCCCTTTGTTGCCGAAAACAAAGCCAGTTGCACTTTCTACTTCAGAATTCTTTACTACTGGTGTTGGCGATTGTACAGTTTTCTATGTTTTATCGTTTTATATTCGCTGACACACACATTTTTTACAACTGCTGATTGCGAACATATGCGTAAGCCATGAAATCGTCGTTTCTTCTAGTCGCTTGAAGTTTTTCATGTTTTAACTCCCAACATGTACATGCACTTGTACTTTTGTGATTAAATTAAGCTTAAAATTTTAACCCCAAGAATAAATTTTTACTTCGGATGCAGCGCAGCCAGTATACTATTCACAAATAAAAAAGTTTTCCATACAAGCACTTAAGTTTAATCGGGCAGTTTGTATGGCAGCTATATGCTATAGTTGTCCGATATGTACAATATTTGCAGAGATTGTAGTTTTGCTTTGAACCATAACTGGTGCCAAATTTCGTGAAGATATCTCGTCAAATGAAAAGTTTTCCATACAAACACTTGATTTCGATTGTTCAGTTTGCATGGCAGCTATATGCCACAGTGCTCCGATATCGGCGGTTCCGACAAATGAACAACTTCTTGGGGAGAAAAGGACGCGTGCAATTTCAGATCGATATCTCAAAAGCTGTTGGACTAGCTCAGGTAAATATATATAGACGGATAGATGGGAATAGCTAAATCGAATCACCTCATCACGCTGAATATTTATATTTCTACTTCATAGCGTCTCTGTGGTTTCTTTCTGGGTTTTACATGCTTAATACACTCTGCTCAAGGTATAAAACTTGCTTTGTTGATTTAATCAATGAATGTTTCAATAAAGCAAATAGCAACCACTGTTCATTAACCTCGTCCTTTGCCGTTATTCATATCATAATTCGAAGTTTTTAATTAAGTTAAAATTTCTGCATTCACGGATTTTTATAAAGCTAATTTGCCTACTTGTACGCACGTTTTAACACATATACAATGAGTCTCAAAGGCTTTGTTTTCAATTTTTGCTGTCAGCTGTCGACTGTCGACTTAGTTTTGAAACTCTTTTCACAAAAACTTCACTTTCACGTGCTACTCGCTTCGCCATTGTGTTTATTACACCTGTGCAACATGTTGCAACGTAAATATGAGCACACATGGAAGTAAGTAGACAGGTTGTTTTTAATTTTCTAGAACCATGATTCAGCAGCAGCAAAACACGTCAAACACACACACATATGCTGTTATACTGCTTGTTATTTTCAAAAGTGTCAAAGGCTTCGTTGAAGGCAGTTTGTTTTTATTTCGTCTTCTCGAGCTCCCAATTGTTTTTCGTTTTATTTGCTTTCACTTGCTGTGTGAAATTCTCACATTTTGCCACCTTCTATGAGGGCAGCATGTGTGCTTGCCGCTTCTATGCCAAATTCTGAAACAGGTGCCAATTATAATTTTTTTTCCTCTTTTGCTGGTATATGTTCTCTAGATGGCGTCTCGTTCGCCCGTTTTATTCACTTGCGCATAGACTCACCAATTATGTAGCTGCTTTCCCCACACACGGCTTACATTTTTCCGCATTTCTTGCATGTATATGCTGTGTTACGTGCTGGACATGTGCCTTTTAACCAGTTAGTCACATTTTTAACCAGTTAGTCACATGACAGCCTCATGGTCACAAAACTACGAATGTGGATGACAGAATGTACGTTCTTACTCAAGCTGGGATATTCGTCCTCAAATTTAAAATAGCAATTTTTCGTACCAAAAACCATTCAATTTTGATTAAATTATGATTACCATTGCAAAAAAATCAATTCTTCGTATCGAAAAAATACCACAAATCGATCAATGCACCAAGCTTTTAATTAAAGTTTTTGCTTTTTATGAAATCCTAGCCGATTGTAATTAAGTAATCGATAGCAATTCTGATGCAATATTACTAAAATAACGGTATTTGCACATAACATAAAGTTGAGTTAATATAGACACATAATAAAGGTTAATGCATTGGGCACTTTGACAAGTGAATGACCACACAACGCGGCACGTGGACAAACGTTGTTAAATCACGGCGGGCACTGTTGTCAGGGTTGCATTCTATGTCAGCGCCCCAATATATGTATGTGTGAAATAAGCCGGCACATGTTTACCCACCAAGTGTAAATATGTATAAATTTGTTGAGCTTGAATTGTTTATTCTGTAATTAGCAGGTATAAATGTGTACCCAACAATGACAGCCAAATAAAAGTATGCAAATATAAGCATGGAATAAAACTCGACAACAAAATCATTAGTATTCATGACACTCAGCATACCACCATATACTCACACATAAGCTGGTGTGCTTGGTGACAACTGTGTAATTTACTGTAGTATAAATATTTTCTTAAAAACTTGAGTGAGCCATTGATATGGCGTGACCTTTAATCATTTTGAATTGACATGGATAATTAACTACTTGGCGTTGCAGTAGTTTGAGCCGCAGATTGGTGAATGTGTCAGACAAAAGCACGGTGAAGGAAGTATCGAGGTTTCAGTTGAATCAAAATTCGAAGAATAATTAGCAAGACGATAATCAAATATGATTAGGTAGATAATATTAAACTACAAATTCATTACTATTTATAAATGAAAATTCCAAATGTCATTAAAAAAAATTTGTTGCAAACACGAAAGCACGCTTATTTATAAGCGGTCTAGAATTATCAACTCGACAGCGTTCCTAAAAATTATTAGTTATATCCACTTGTTAATTTCAAAATATTTTGTTTTTGCATATGTATATAGCAAATGTACATATATTTGAGAGCATTCTCGGAAAATTTGAAGTATATGAGGAAGGAAGGAATGAGGAAAGAAAAAGCTATTAGTGTAATGGGTTCCCAGAACTTTAAATGCATTTTTCTACAAATGTTGTTAACAAAGTTGATGAGAAAAATTTATTCGAAAAGGCGGGATCACCCACGTTAAAATTTTCACACGACTTTCTTGGACCTAAATGTCAAGTAATGATGAAAGGAATAAGATTTTGACAATTATTTCGATTTTTTAAGGCAGAAGTATAAATTTTTCATAAAAACAATTTTTTTGAGATATCACCATTTCGTCTAAAATTTAAATTTTGACTAGTCCTTCGAACATTACCTGTTTTCATTTATAGTAATCATAAATTTTAATGGTTTTTAGATTTCAAATAATTTGAAGCAGAAAAATCTTCCTCACTGCTAGACACCTTTTTCCGCAGTTCCTGTAGATCGGCTACGGGATCAAGGGTATCCAAAATTTTTCAAAATAAATCATCGATTATTAAAGTACATTGAATTCGGCAAATGTACATTATTTATATTACTAATTGCCTCTTAAAAAAATTAAAAAAAAAAACGCATTTTTCTGCCCTAAAACTGGATACTAGCGCTTAAAGACTATTCAAATAATGAAGTATTTCAACGGGGATACCAGAAGCTAGTGGAACCTTGCTGGGCATTGTTGGAAAATAGTCAGAAATCCGCCCATTGACAGCAAAGATTTATACATATAAGAGTAGGGGTACTACTTGTAACACACTTAGTTTGCCACTTGAGCTGCAAATAAAGTTATTCACACATGTCTGCATATTAAATCAATCGAGCATAATAAAATATACAAATGAAAGCAAATATTTTCATAAATATAAAAATAGAAATATGCGTCGAGTTATCGATGAATAGCCGCTATCTATAGAGTGTGACTAAATGAATAGATGTGTGTATGACGAACTGTGGTTCTTAATTCATGACCTATTTATACAGCGGCTTTATTAAATTAGCCACAAATGAGGTAGCTCGTTTATTAGTGCCACAAATTAATAGATCGAAATAAGTTTCATTAGTCTATTTTGCGGGTTATCCAAAAACAACAAACATACCATATTACTGAAATAGCTTGGGAAAGTTAAATAAAGCTTTTTTATTAAATCAGTACACATGTACGTGCGCGCTTTTCGTTTTAATCGCTTATTCACCACACAACGCCTCACACCACTTCTCAACAACTCAAACCAACTGCCAGCTGTTAGGTGTGTTCATTTAAACTTCATCTTTTCGAGTTTAGAAATAAAAGTTTTAGCCAAAATCTTCATAACTGTTTGCATGCTCATTTGCTGGTCAACTTTAGCGCTGAGCTGTGTGTTTGCTTGCGTGTATTTGCTTTGCTAAATTTGAACTTGTTGCTCTACATAGCGCCTTTGCTGTTCATTCCTCCCTTCAACTGTATTCGCCTCACCGCAGCATGAACTCCAGCATATGAAAGTGTTTGAAAGTGCTAATTTGCTTTGCATTTAAGAGCGCAAATGCGAAACTTCAAATGTAACAACAGCAATAACACTGAAGGACCCGGCCTCTATAAGTCCGACCGGATGGTGCGCATCTATCGCTTTGGTGTAGTTGGTTGGTAAAAACTTCCACCAAAATGTTGCTGGCTTGAAGTTTCTGCGCTCCCAGCTAGTGAGGGTTGGCCGAGGGAGTAACTAAGATCTAGTTGCCTCACGGAAACAAAAGATACCACTACTTTAGTAGTTTATGTGGCGTCCATACATATTTTGTAATGTGAGCATGTGTGTGTGTGTGTGAGTAGTTTTCGTGCATACTGGTGAACGGAAATCGTGCGGAAGTCCAAAGTGAAAGCTTGACTAAAAACTGTTGTTGAGCAAGTGGCAGATAAAATGCGAAAATTACCTCTTACCAACACTGCAACAAAATTTGCAAATGTGTAGAAATTTTATTAACCCAATTTAAAGGAAAATATGGACAACCGGGCGGCTTCTAAACACCACCTACTACACGCACAAGCGACAAACGATATGCACACCACATATTTTGAGGGCAAGTGTTAAGTAAACAAGCACTTACTTTGTAGTTGTATGGGCAACAACTTTGTGGTGACAACACATTTTGAACTTAGCTCGGTTCGGTTAGTCAGTTATGAAGTTTTCAAATGTAAATATTAACAAAATTAAAACGAAAACTTGCAAATATGCTTAATAATCCTAACAGAAATGCGCTTAATGAGACTTGACAAAAAACAACAACTAAAATGTTTGAATGTAGTGGTCAGTTTATTTATTCCAATATACAATAATAGAGTCATTTGGGACAACTCACTTAAATGTGGCTTATAGCAAAAGGGGTTTATTTTCACATTAATTGAAAATAGCATAGTTAAAACTTTATTTTAGTTTAAATTGCCCATGAAATATACAAAAATGTTAACTCAAACTTTTCGGAAAATTCAAATGCAAGAACTCGGCTTGGGATTTCTTTAGGAAACTTACGAATCCAACTTGGAACGAAATAAAAAAATACCTGTTAATTTTAATATCAAGAGTTCTAAGTTTTCTAAGATTTGTTTCGTCATTTCGGACTATATTTTTACGGTATCTAAGGAAAAAAAAATGTATTTCTGTTCTGCCTAATCAACGTGGTATATTTCTTGTTTACTGCAGCTGAATGTTATTGCTTCTGTAAAAAAAAAATCACCAAATGGCTTAATATAAAAATGTAAATGGAAAAATTTCAACTAACAAAGCACAAAAAAAATGAAATGCATGATAAAACTGTGCCACTTCTAGCCTTGACCTTTTAATGACTGTGGTGAGCAAATTAACTATCAGATACGCTCCTCTCTCACTCTCACTAACTTCATAAGTTCATAAGTAAGCGGTGTCGTTCATATGTGCAAGTAAACACTTATTTGTTGGCAAATCCCCTGTGGCTCAAAGCCAAACTTAATGCCTTTTATGAGCGTGTTTTATCAAATCAACGACTCAGCACTTCAACACCCACGCGGATATGTAGGCGGAGACATAAAACCACAAAGTCATCTCTAATCGCCGTTATTAACTGATTGCATTCCATAAACACAAACACACGCAGGCGCCCACACAAATGCAAATTCAAGGCGAATAGAACAATGTAAGCGACAAGGAGGCTACGTAATTGCTGAAAGCCATTTGCAAGCGAGCAGTAAATCTACATGCATACCTATTTATGTAGGAAAAAATGTCTGCAGCTGGCATTTATAGTGCAGTCGTATGTTATCTGCACTTTTAGAGTCTTTGTCGGCTACACTCGTGAGCTGAGAATGAACATGTGCCTATGTTTGTGTGCATAAAACCGCAAGCAAACAAATTTGCTCACCAGCAAACAGCGCACAAATCTATTCGTGCACATGTAGGTGCATATTAGAGTGCATAACGTCACACCCTGTATGCACATATACTAACGCACATGTTAATAGCATTGTTAGCACACATGTAGTCTGACTCGCACACACATACGCACACATTACGGTGCACATGAGGGGCGGCCAAATGCGCAAACATAACTCATTTTTGCAATCTTCGCAAATTTGCCAAAGAGCCAGGACATACATATATACATACTTATAGGTACCTACATATGTATATGTACATATGTAACTGCATGCCAGGCAGGATATGTAAAGTATGTAAGCGGGAAAGCAAACGTGCTTGCATTGGCATATATAAAGTAGAGTTGAGCGCATATATCAAAGCAACTAACGTTTATAAGGAGGCCCACTCCTTGCAGCCAACCTTGCATTTCAGCCACTAGTAGCCCCTCTCCCCTAACTAGCCGTTAATGGTTTGGGGCGCATGCAATGCAATACTCTCGTACGGTTGTGCATGCATTTTTTTGCTTTCTCTGCTTGCCGCTTTCATTCGCAAGTTTTATGAGTTGCTATTTCCGCTTAACAACACTAAAGAAACTTGCATGCTTTTAGGCGCTGACGCATGCGCCATTTATATTAACATTCTCGAATAGCTACGACTTTATCGCGGACTTTCTATTCTCTTGTTTTGATCTGGTTTAAGGGAATTTTCAACTTAATGAGCAGAATGTGTTTTTTTATGGAAGAAAGTTCAATGTTTTCTAAAAAAAAAAATTCATAATTAAAAACTGTTCATCCCTACTAGCTCTGAGGTTTACGGTTGAGATTTTTTTTACAACATTTTTCAATTGAAAACTTTTTTTACAGCCTTCACAATAATATTCGTAATTATTAATGAATGTTGGTTTTGACCTTCCATGCCAAATCATATGTGTACAAACTCTTTTGGAAATTATATTTATGACTCTTGTTCATAGTAACAGCCTGAAGGAAATGTCAGAGACCCTACAAAGTGTATATATATAAATGCTCAGCGTAACAAGCTCAATTAATTTTGCCATATCCGTCTGCTGGTATATGCGCGATCTAGTCTTTTAGTTGTCGAGAGATATCTTTGGAATTTTGAAACATCTGTCGGAACTGCCGATATCGGGCCACAAAAACATATATGTAGTTGCCATAAATATATGATGGATGATTGCCTAAAAAAGCGGTACAATCTCCAAAGAAATTATTCAGATCGCACCACTACAGCATATAACTGCTATACAAACTGGTCAATCAAAATCAAGTTCTTGCCTGAAATCTTTTGTATTTGTGAAGGGTATTCTAGCTTCGGTACAGCCGTAGTTAATATTTTTTTTCGATTTTTTTTTTTTATTTCTGAAAAGTACATATGATATTAGAGTAAATTTTGGTTCAAGTAGTAGGGCATAGCTAACGAAAAAAAGTTTTAAATAAAGAATTCTTGTGCTCATAAATGCAAATTTTTTCTGTTTAAAGCTACAACCGCCCCAATTACGCAATTAAAATCACGCAAAAATACGTATGTCTTTTATTCATATTTAATTCCCCAGGTACTGCGCACAGCAATCATAATTACGCTGTTTGTTTGTCCACACTTGCTTCACTTTGTTTTTATTGATATTGATGTCCATTAATTTTTCATTTTCTTTACTTAATTTTTGATGTTGTTTTTGTGCTGCATCTTCTTTACGTAGAATTTTATAATTGGTGTACGCAATTTTTACCGACTTCATTTTCTTTTATAAGATTGATTCATATTCTCACTCCTTTTTTCAATTTTTAAATATTATTGGATGGCCCAATCATTGCGCTCTTGTCTCAGTACACATTTCACTTATTATTAATATTTCGCTTTTTCGCATTCTTTTATTGCAGCGTTCGGCATCCAATGAGAGCCAATTGGTACTGGATTCGGTTAGTGTCTCCACCACTGGTAAATATAGTTGTGAAGTGTCAGCAGATGCGCCATCCTTTCACACTGAGATCTCGGCCGGTGAACTGGAAGTGGTTGGTAAGTGTCGGCACATATACGAGCGTAATTAACACGTGACACGCGGTATAATTTTATTGCATGTCACGATAAGGAGCGTCTATAATGACCTTCGAAATATTACTCAGAAGAAATATGTTTGCCGTTTTATTTAATTAAAGCTACCAAAATATGACAAGTTAATCAGGTGTTGAAAGAAAATATATATCGAGGAAGAAAAACCATAGCTACTACTTTACAAGAAGTTAAAATTTTATTGAATAAGGACGGGAAGGGTCTGTCGAAACAAAACCTCTGAAAATGCTGGGTATATGTATGACTTTACGTATGTTCTTAATTGAGACAATTGTTATAGGCTATAATAAAAATAAAATCATCAATGCAGTCAACAGCAGCAAAGCTTAGGGTATTGGAATATATACAATTTTATCACCATGATCTCAAGCATAATTTTCTATCCTATCTATTTTATCAATCAATCTATATAACTTGTGATATCAGAATAAATACTTTATAAAATTTGTTCTCAGAAGTTAAAATACTCGTAACTCACCTCAATTCTTCGCATTTTTGACACTTCCTGCAAAAAAAAGAAAATTGAAAGTTATTAAATGGATTATAAGATATATACATATACATAAAATAATTCATTTATTTTGCAACAATTAATACTAGTATTCAACTTTAATTAAACACCCAAAATATGCGGTCACGTCCACATGACACGTTATGAGCTAACGACACACATATGTATGTACATAGTCTGTGGAAACATTCTTATACGAGTGCAAGCATGACTCTCTTTATGAATAATCAAAAAGTCCAGCAGATTCAGTTTACTCCATCCAGTGCAGCATGCGCATATTTTGCTAATGTATTTTTCGGCAACGTGCTGAGCATCTCGACACTTATTGCATGCTGCAAGGGGCAGCCGCCAGCATACTCAGAAAAAGTTATAAATAAACAAATCCAACGTCAGCGCCCGCACGCACACACACACCACACACTGTCTCTGGCATGCGAGTGGTTGTGCTTCGCAGACTCAAGAACGATCGACGCCAACTGTCGCTCCATCATTTTGTCATGGCAACATCCGTTTCAAATTGACCATTTGCGACGGTAAAAGCCAAAAAAAAAAGCTACTAAAAGTGGAAAATGGCACAAAAATGTGAAAAATTTGCTAAGAAAAAATTGTAGAAGAATGTTGGCAAGCAACAAGAGATGCCGAAAATAGCAAATTGCATGAAAATAAACTCTGGACACTCGACAACATAGATTGACTTTTGAGGGTAGGAGGAGACGCTGACGTTTAGACGGCGGTCAATGGCATCAGACAAGCATTGATGCATACTTGGCGCCGACGTCTGCACATTCGTCTGGCCAACGTGCTGCATACATGTATGCACATGACAATGTGTGCACATAACGTGTAACGGTAAATGAATGAACAGGAATGTGAAACAAAAACTGGCGAAAAAACGACGAATTATACGACGAGTAAACAAAACGGTCTCAGATAAAGGTGAAGGTACATCAAGCGAAAACTAGAAACTTTTACGGCAAAAAAGAGACAGCGATATGAACGCTGTATATGAGTTGCCTTAAAAAGATGCATAAAAAACGCAGTTAAAATTTTATTGCAATTGTAGGTGGAAACAAAAACTACTGAGCAGTTGTAGAGGAATGGAGGTGTCGCTAAACAAAAATTGAGTGGGCGCCAACAATAGCAGCATTCAAGCCGCCCAACAGTATAAAATCTTAAACCAATCCTCTCTGCGTACTGGATTATTTATTATACCCTAAACAGATATTAAAAGTTTAACACGAAGTTTATAACAGCCAAAAGAAAACGTTGCTGAACCTTAAATGATCAATGTTACAAGCTGAGTCACAGAGATATCGATCTGAAATGTTGCACGTGTCCTTTTTCCCCAAGAAGCTGCTTGTTTGCCGGAACCGCTGATATCGAACCACTGTGGAATATAGCTACAAACTTTTGTATTTGACATGACATCTTCACAACATTTTGTATAGATTATTGTTAAAGGCAACCCTAAAATATCCGAACATATTGTTAAAATCTGGCTACTGTACGATAAGGCTACCATACAAACTGACCTATCAAAATCAAGTCTTTGTATGAAATTATTTCTTATTTGACAATATATCTTCACGAAATTTGATACTGCTTATATTTAATCTAGTCTGTACGAAATCTGAACCTAAGCTTTTATACACGAAGCATCACTGCTGAAAACTATATTGCATTGGAACAAATCTTTCTTATCTTGGAGATATTAAGTTGTGAAATCCACCCGTTTGTTTCACGTTGATCCGATTTGTTGAGATTCCGACCCGACTGGGAGTTTAACACATAAATGCCGAAAAATTTTTGAAATCGTACTTCACCGGGCAGTCTCGCAGCAATGCAAGAATTGAATGAAACAACGAAACCCTTGCTTAATCTCCCTCCAATAGCTGTTATTTTATTTTAATATTGCTGCGCTATTTTCTAACACAGTTATAAAATTTTATCAAAGAAGTATATACTCCTGGAAAGCCATACTTTTAAACCAACTTACCACTATATAATATTAACTAAGCCTATTTAATTTATAAAAGGTTTGACTTCCTCATTAAACTTTTTTGCTGAATTGGTATTAGCTGCCGTTTATTTTATTTTATTTTAATTAATTATTTTTATATATTTTATCTTTTTTTTGGTATTAGTTAGTTAGTTAGTTAGTATTAAATTGGTATTAGCTGCCGTTTATTTTATTTTATTTTAATTAATTATT